ATGGTGGCTGATATTACATCAATGGCTATTTTAACCAATTATAAACGCAGATATTGAAGGTGCTAAATTAGGATAAATCCTTGTATACACAGGTGCAATATTGGTCATATCAACATAATAACCAACAAAATCTACCTATTTTATATAGGACATGATCTTCTATCAGTTATCTTTAGCTATTTAAACTAGATTTAATTTTTTGGTTTTTCAATAATTAATATAACAAATCGTAAATAAACTAGTTGAAATTATAAAATAATTGACAATTACCAAACAATAATTTAAGGTTGTAGCTAAAAGTAATATTAACCCATTATTCTATCTGCAAATGTTTGATTTTAATCAGGCGTGGCATACACTTTCTACACAGATAATATCAATGTATTAACAAGAATTATTTTTGCCTGGAGCTGTTTCCGTTATTTGACATAATGAGCTACTGGCCATGACTGATTATTCATGCTTTGCAGTGCTTACTTTAATTAAGGCTCGCATACATTTATGTGTGAAGCACATAAATTAAATATTAATTGATTTTAATACTTATACTGAAATTTGCAGTGTCAAATTTATGTGATTACGAAGAACATTAAATTTATTTACAGTTTGAGAATTGTAGGATTCTAATGGGATATCGGACTACACACCTAGGTCTTCTCTGTAGGTGGTAAAATCATCTTCTGCTTGAGTTTATTAAAGCTTCTAATGACGTAATTTATGTTGCCATGGAGATCAGGTGCCACTGTTAGTGTGCTTAACAACAGTTAAATGTGAGATTCTCATTACTTGCCATATTGCGTAGTAATTTCAAATCATGTGAGGTATGCAGCATGTTTAAAATTTGAAACGGAATGCAATTTAAATTGCTAATGCTTAGTTTTCTTAGATATCATTCAGTATTCTTAGGAACTCGCTACTTTAACACATTATTTCTTCCCCACACCACCTTCTTCAGAATCTGAAATCATCTCTGATGCTGTGAACTTCTTGCATAATGACAAGGGGAAGATCCAGATATGTCCAAAAGGGTGGGGGGGGGAGGGTCCGAAAGTGGAGGCCAATCGAGATAACACTAACCTGGGCTTACGTTATCTAGATGCCCAAAAATAACATCTGAGGCATTTTGGGTGATCAATTTTTTCTTTTTCTTTCTTTCTTTCATCTCATTTTTTCCCGGCCCGGCCCGGCCGGGCCGGACCCAGCCGTATATTGACCCCCGCCACTAAATCCGCCCCTGATGACTAGTACTGTAATTACCTTAAATAATACTCAGCTTCATCTATCTGCCTTGCTTATTTGGTACCATTGATTTTTGCCCTGTGTCAATTGTTTGATATTTTTATGGGATCTTCAATTGTTGTTTTTTATTTGTACTGCTTTTTTTTTATATCTGCGATGATATTATATTGTTCATTCATCCACTCATAATGGTGTATATAAAAACCATATTAGCAGTAGAACTGAATAGTGATAATTTTTTAGATAACTATTAAAATATTCATAAAAAAATTATTTTCAAAAGCATATAGACTACCAATTTGATAAACATAAAAATAGCTAAGAACTAAAATAATACATAAAAAATTACCCTAAACAGAAGAATGGAAAATATATATTGTGTTTAACAAAGCATCAACAATATATAACTGAAACCGTAATGTATCTGAATAATCCACATTATAAAGCAGTCAGATCCGAACTGATATTCTGTTTTGATACAAACAAAATTTTGCAGATTTTTATTTATCTGGTTGTTTAAAATTCAGCCTGTAAAAGCTACAGATATTGGAACTTCTCATTGATCAGAACAATCAAACAGTGAGGAGACAGTAGCTGAAAATGTTTTCTTTAAAAAAATTTGTGTTAAAATCCAAAATAAATTTCTTTCTTCTTTAAAGATCAGCTCACATTTTAAATCTATAGTGCAAGAAGATATTCTATCAAATCATTTAAACATTTTTGTCCTAGTTTTTGGTTTTTTTTTTTATTATCAACAAAATTTATTATTTTCTCTGCCTAGATGCTTTTAGCTGAACCAATTTGCTAAGTCCGCTAACAAGATATAAAACAAGATCGTTAAGCATCAGTTTGCTGTCTTGGGACATATATCAGTAACCCTACTTATAGT